GTACCAATGCATGCTTCTGTATGCTTTCTCTGTTTATGTAAGTTCTAAAATCAGTCTGAAAATGATATAGTGCATTAGTTTTTCAGTCTTAATACTTGTGGTAAGATTGAAAAACCTAAAATAATGCCAATGAAGACATATTGTACAAAATCAATATTAATGATTCATTGCATATAATTATTTTCCAGACATGTACTGTATTTTCTACATGTACTGCCCAAGGTCCTTAACAAAATTAAGATAGAGTTTCGATTTGAGAAATACTAGCAAGACAAATCATCATCAGACAGTTCAAATTATTGCCTACTTTTTCTACAATTTTAATGTAGAAAAAGAAAAAGACAGCAGCATCAATTTCCTAGCATCCAATTTCCTTAATACAAAAAATGCTTGAAGTTTGTTGCAGTGTATAACCCAAATTTAGCCTGTCCTCATGTCATACCGGCTTACTTCATTCCANAATGGCTTCTACTGTACTATTTTAGATGCGATTTTTTGTTTTTATATGCATTTTAGTAGGGTATACCATGGGAATGCACACTAAGAAGGGATTTTTCGAAATTCCCCTGTGGGGTGAGAGGGAGAGGATTAAGTCTTAACCGGAAAAACGGCTTCTACTGTACTATTTTACATCCGATTTTTTGTTACGTTTAGTCTTCATTAAGTACTTAAGTGTATTAAATTGATAAAATTTCAGACATTGTTATAAATATTTTATATATTTCGATTTTTTAACCAAATGTTCAAACCTTTTTAAATTTGAATTTGTTATTGCATATCGGTTCGATTATAGAACAATTGTAAACGTTCCAGAAAATTGATCAAATTGAAAATAGTTTGTTTGATTCTCAGCAATTCTCATCATTCTCGGCAGTAGGTGTTATATAACAATTACTATGGTTGTTGAAATACTGAATATAAATGGGGTTTGCTTGCAAAACCTCCGCAGGCGAAGTCACGGGTAACAGCTAGTTGATAATAAATAGAAATTCATAATCCGGCATTCAAGTGCCGGGTGCTTTCCCAGGGACAGGAATTATGACAAGTTATCAATAATCCCAGATTACAGAGCGTTCTTGTATTTTAGCATTTTCTTAAAATTTGATTAAACTATGTGTATGCGATCATTGCTATGTGGTACAAAAGGTACAAAAATATTTCATACATTGCATCACATTTTGTACCAATGCATGCTTCTGTATGCTTTCTCTGTTTATGTAAGTTCTAAAATCAGTCTGAAAATGATATAGTGCATTAGTTTTTCAGTCTTAATACTTGTGGTAAGATTGAAAAACCTAAAATAATGCCAATGAAGACATATTGTACAAAATCAATATTAATGATTCATTGCATATAATTATTTTCCAGACATGTACTGTATTTTCTACATGTACTGCCCAAGGTCCTTAACAAAATTAAGATAGAGTTTCGATTTGAGAAATACTAGCAAGACAAATCATCATCAGACAGTTCAAATTATTGCCTACTTTTTCTACAATTTTAATGTAGAAAAAGAAAAAGACAGCAGCATCAATTTCCTAGCATCCAATTTCCTTAATACAAAAAATGCTTGAAGTTTGTTGCAGTGTATAACCCAAATTTAGCCTGTCCTCATGTCATACCGGGCTACTTCATTCCAACTGCCTGGCTACATAAACACCATAACTGCACTTATTCATAGAGTCTATATATTACCATCATTGCAACATTTGGCACAAAAAGAGTTGCAATTTATTAATATGGCAATGTGTAAGGCAGGATATACTTATGCAAAACTCAAGTGCATTCAAATCCATCTGCGAAAATTTCTCTTCTACCCATCTGTTAGAAATAATAAAAAAGAATCACATTTATAAGACCACCCATCCTGTATCTTGAGTCTGTGTCCTTGTACATCAGAAAATTTCAAAAATCAGGATTTAATATTCCAATACAACCACAGCTACCCTTTTGCAGAATACTATATAAAGACAGACAAATTAACTATGTTAGAAAAATCAGGCATATACATAATTCCCTTACAACAAAACAATGATGAAAAAGTGATATATATATCAGGGTCACAAGTAGAAAATTGCAAAGCCATATATTAGAACATCAAGATGACATTTATAATAATAGAATTTCCACAGAACTATCTTGAAGAGTTCTTTATAATTACATTACACCCCTTGGAACAAATCTTCCATCCTCATACAGTGTGAGAGTTGTACTGACTGACCAGACTGTTTATTTATCTGGAAAACATTATTTATTGAGAAATTGGAGCAATATAATAAGCCCACTGTAAAACTCCCAAAAATATGGATCTCACTATTTAATAATTAATTAAATCCTAGCCTTCAATATTTTTCAATTTTACTTTGACCATTAATTAATATCTGTAAAGAAATTATACATACAGTTGAAATTTGTGTATAACTTCACAGGATGTTTATTTATACCAATTTAACAATAAATAAGCTCATTATTATAAATAATTACTTATAAAAAAAAATCATATTCTTAAATAAAAATATTCAAATTTCTGAATGATGAATTAATATAAAAATTACAACCAATTTTGTTGTAAAATCATGTAATTGAATGTACAGTACTTCATAAGCAATATGGAAATTAAAATGCATATCATTTACTCTCTCCTCCATAATAATTGTATAATTCTGATCTAAGTTTCTACAAAATGCCACAAGGAAAAGAACTGAGCAAAAATGAAGTGAGAAAAATCACTTTTTATCATGGACAAAAAAATTTTACAGACAGATTGCAACACTTTTGAAAAAAATCTGTGCAAGGTACAATATAGGTAAAGATCATGAGAATCCTAACCCACAACATCTTTATTTGTATTATTATTTTCTACATTTCACTTCAAAGTGCAAAACTTATCATTACCAAAGAAAACCTCCTAAGAAAATTTTTGACCGTTGTATAAATTCTTATAAGTTTTTACTTGACACAATTTCTTCACATCTCAGATGTTTTTGTTTGGATCTAAGACTTTCAACTTTCATATTTCTATATGAATTTTAATAAATAAAATACACTATTACACAAACTATATATATTGTTATGAATTGTCATAAGTGTAAAGCAATAATACTAAGGTCAAATTTTCTTTAAGAAATTTAATCATATAAAAAGAAGTCAGTTGGTTTTTCAAGGATCAATCCTAATAGTATAATTTTAATTATTATCTATACAACTATCAGAATTGTTAAATTATGAATTAATTTTAAACCAAAAATCACTGATCAAACTCAGCTTTTTATACTTAATGAACTATCAAAACCACCATCTGTTGCTGAGAAACATTTAATTAGACAAACTAATGTTTTCAACCTAATGCATAGGTTGAAAATGTTTGTATTTCTTTAATGAAACAGATGGTTTTGATAGTTCATTAATTTTAAACTTTAAAAATTCTGCTTAAAATATATTAGTTTTAAAAAATCAGAGTTTTATTCATTATTTAAAATTAGTTTGCTTGATATTTGTTTACACATGTGTAAACAAATATCACACAAAACTGAATTTTGTTTACTATCAATCAAAAACAGACAAATAATTAAAAATAAACTTTGGTGATGTATTCAAAGGATGATTAGAAAAGTGAATTATTTAAATTCCACAATAATGTTTGAAAAAATGCAGTTCAAACTATTTTTCACCACTCTAAAGATGTAGTTTCAAAACAAAATGTGCCAGATTTGAAACTATTATTAAATATAATACATATTAATTTTAGCTACTCTTAAGTCATATAAAGAAATGAAAAGATAAGGATAATATAAATATAAAATGATTACATCATAAGTCAAAAGAAAAAAACTAACTAATAAATATTAGCTAGAAAATATTAAAATCCACATTAATATTATTTTTTAAACCTTATATTTTTGTGAAAATGTTATATATATAACTTTCTAACTTAATTTTAAACATCCCTGTTTAACCAAACTGTAGTTAGATAAACACTTGAAAAAATATATATTCACATTTGAAGAGTGTGGGTTTAAAATAAGAGCCATTTCCATTAGTACATTATAATGCATGTTAACAGCTAAACAGCAATGTATTTCAAATTAAATAACACTTTTTAACTATAACACACATCATATTATGATTAAAGTAAACAAAGAAGAAAACTTCTTAAGTTCAATTTTTCCATTTTCTCTAAGCTTTATGGCATCATATTTACACCCAAACCCTTAATTTATTACATTTATATGTATATATCAGGGATTCTTAAATTCTGCTTATTCACGACCCCATTTATGAATGTGATTTTTTTCGCGACCCAAAAAATATAAAATAAAGATATATACAAATTTGCAAAAACAATAATGGTGTACTACCACAGTTCACTCTTGTGTTACAGTGGAACAGAGACAACTGAATACACTGAAAAGTGACAACACTACACTAGTTCATGCTACAATCAATGTTGCTGAATTGTCGTCTCGCTGCACCAGAAGTGACACAAAGCGTGCCATTTTCAAACTCAATTATTTTCAATATTTTGCATTAAAATCTCACAACCCCAATATTTCGCAAAGCGACCCCAAATGGAGTCACGACCCACAGTTTAAGAAGCCCTGGTATTTATAATAAATATTTCAGTTGTGATTTATATACCTGTAACTAATTTGAATTCTACCAATCAATAATATATTTTTTTATTAGCAATACTCAACATTTCTATTTAAAAATTATATTCTAAACAAAGTCGACAATGCTTGACAAACAGTTTATCAAAATAAAACAACTATGAGTCATTATTTTAACATTTTTAAATTATGATTTATACAACAACACATTTCCAAAAATAACTGAGCATTTGAATATAATCATACAGTATGAATAAAATGATAAAGTTGTTTAAAGTATTTTTACATTAAATCTACTAAATACACAATTCATTTATAATGAATCTTAAATAATGTATATTTAGCCCAAAGTTAAACAAAAAGGAAAAACAAACTTGTATANCATATTCAACCAGGTCGCAGGTAACCAAATTTATTCAAAATTAACACTCATATTTAATATTGTTAGTTAATTTATCAGTGTTTTATCAATTGTGCTTCTTCTTAGACCTGCCGATTATGATAGAGATATTGATTCAAAACTGTAATGGAATATGGGTGAGTAACAATATATTTTCCGGTTCAAAGTTCAAGTTTGTCATTAAAAAACTCATTCAACTTAAAATTTATTCTTTTATACACACAAATCTGTTAAGAAACTAATTTTTCCAATTAATTATAGTTGTTTCATCCTAATCACTACTATCACATATTATAATCTTTAGAATGGTTCTGTAATGTTTTAATTATTTCTTAATTAAAATAAATTTTAAATGTCATTTTACTCTATTAATAGTTTTAAAAAGCTTTTAGTGATATAAAAATTACTCATAAATTATAATTTAGTTCTCTATAACTTAAGATTTGTCATTGCAGGGTACAGATAAAATTACAGGTGAACCATACGAAAAAGAGCTTTGTGAAAGAACAAATCCACGTGGTCTTGTATACATAGGAGATTCAGTCGGTGCTCGTTTACATGTTCCTTTGCAATGGTTTACTGCTAGAGAATTTTTAAAAGTAAATTAAATTTTATTAAATTACATTATAAATCCAGAAGAAAAATTATCTAGACTTTCTCATTAAAATTTAAGAAAAATAATATGCATCTGTTATAGTAAAGTATCCAGAAAATTTATGCATTTCTAAAGTAAAATACAAACAATTAACATTCAAAACTACTTTAATTTTTCAAAAAATAATATCCACCAATAATCTTTTTCTTTAATCTGAGCAATTTCATGCAATCTTACAAAATATTTTTCCAGACTTTGATTCAATTATGATTTTTAACTTCCTTATTGTTTTCAAATATTTTTTCTATTTTGTAAAATTAAAATTAAAATTTAGAGAATTATTAGCAAATTTCCTTTCCTGCCAGTCCCATTAAACTCTTAATTTTCACTGAGTTATTCTTTGTGTCATGTGATAAAACATTATTCTGTTTAAAAGTAACATGCTTTAAAATAATCAATTTATTATTTATTTTAAAAAATAGCGAATTTTTTAAATATATATATTACTTACAAAAATACTAACATATGTACTGTTTTTGGCCTAAATTTAGGCATATTTTCAGCATTTAAACTTTTAAATTTTTTCCACTTAATGAACCCACTTAAAAAGTTTGTTATTTGCTGAAGATAGCCTAAGTTTAAACAAATGTTTGAAATGTTGTAAACTTAAAAGTAACGTTTTGAATCCTTTCCATAACTGCACCCTCACAATAACAAACCCGTAATCATTAAATATGCAGTAACTTACATTTATTAATCTAACGTCTTCGGTCCTTTTAATTGACTATCTTCAGGAAAATACATAAAATTTAAAATTTCACAAAAAGAACAAAGCCGTTCATATTCCAAAACGGTTTTTTAAAGCTTCTAATTTTGGAATACGCAAATTTTAAAAAAACGGGCGTGCTTGTTATTTTTACGTATTATATAATATCTCACGACACGTGCAAAATTAATAAACATTTCGGAGGGTTGCTATGTACTCAACAATTGCAAATTCTTTCCGCATATCATTTCTTTTTGTCTCTGCGTCTTGAATTCTCCATTTGTATATCATTCTCTTTATCGTTTTTCTCTTGACCCCAACCTGACGAGCCATCTGCTCGATATATTCTAGCTTTCTTATCTTATCGTTACAATGCGTATAAGCTCGTTTTATGAGAGCTCTAAATGCTGCTATAGCTCACTGGGTCGTGGGAGACTCACGGTATGAACATTGCATTATATGTAGGCTTCCCGTAAATACCCTTGGTGACAGCGTTTCCATTTACCTTGATCGAGATGTCTAGGAAGTACGCCGCGACATCGGCTCACAGCCGACCCTACCATAGGACGAACGGAGCAACCGCTTCAGGCGCTAAGTCCTAGGGGGCGCCTCAATGGTAAAGAAAATTAATTAAAGGGTATAAATTAGGGGCAACCAAGAGGGGCGCCATAATAGGATCTCGCTCCATCCTAAAACTTGCCTCAGGCCGGCACTGCATCGGCTTCCTGCTCCAATTCTATTTCTAATCCAAATGTGTTCAAATTAATATCTTTAAATATTTTCCCGATGTCAGGCTTCTTCTTCCATACTTTTTTTATTTTAATTCTTTCTGCCCTGTGGGCACTAAAAGCCTTTTTAAAAAAGCAAGCCCATTATGGGTTCGGCCAGGCCCACAGCGGGGCGGAGCCCGACTAGTATTACCACCCACCCGGTTTTCACCCGGACAGTACGGGAATCGTCCGGGCGAACTATTACTTTTGTTCGGGAATATCGTGCGCAACCTGTCGACTTTTTTTTTTTGCTTGTACGATTCGTATTCGTACACGTCTGCAATAGTCAATAGAGCTAACTCATTTGTAGTTGTTCTTTCTTAATTTAGGTTACTTACGTTACTCCTACCCAAGTCCGTAACTAATTTAGAACCGGCAGGCACTGCACATTATTCTTCGCATTGCAAAATGACATACACATGCGTCAGGAACAAATCTCACCTGCCGTCCGGGTCAGCGATTTTGAAAAGGTGGCAACACTAAGTTGCCACCTTTTCAAAAAAGCCTGATATATCCGAACGGACCACCCCCCCCGAAAAATTTCTAGCGATTTTTTCATCCGTATGGACCCGATCCCGGGTCCCCCAGAGCGGTAGGCTGCCACCTTGACCACTCAGCCATCCGGCAATACACAAATTAAAAGAGCATACAAAGGTATCCTACAGACACCCGTTTCCTTCATTTAGATTTTTGTTTGGTAAATTGTACTAAAGTGTTATTTCAGTAACCTACCTGTTAGTGTTGCCAAAGTTTTCACAATGAATTATACAGTATTACAGTACAACACTCTTATTATGAAATGGTGTCATCTTCCAACAAGCATATCTAAATTAAGTATTATTTCATTATTTTTAGAGTAAAAATGTTTTTGTTTTTGGATTGAACTGATAGGAAGAAACAATCCTCCTCATTTCTTCAAAACCATAAATTTTTGGGTAAGCCTAGATAATTTTTCTGATTATTCATACTATCTACAAACCTTTCATTTGATTTTAGAAATATTTTACACATCTTGAATTCATTCTTGGAAATGAACTTGACTGGCCTGAAACATCATTTGCAACAGGTAAACATTTTATTTAAACAAGATAATAATCAGTACATAAATTTATGTTGTTGTTATTTATTTTCAGGTTATAAGAATTTCTCTTGGCCTACACTTCAAGGATATACAGATTCTTTGTATTTTAGATTAAGGGAACACAATTTATGTAATCATAGAGATTATCAAAATTTGGCTGTTAATGGTATTGTTTCATATATATTCATATTACAGTAGAAGTCTTTTTCTGGCATCCACAGAATCACAGCGGTGCTGGATTATTGAAAATGCCAGNTTTTTTTACGTTTAATCTTGAAATCTGTTTTCAGTTAAAAATCATTTAAACTCGTTATATTTAGGCGATTATTAATCATTCATAACGTAAACTTTATCGTTCAAAAATTAAATCGTTCTTAAAATCAGATATCGTTATCTTATAAACTGTTTAAATCATTACATTTCATCACAAATAATAATAAAACAAACAGTTATCACTTAAACAATCGTGTTTATTATAGTTGATTAGTAAATTGATGTCGATTTATTATTTTTCGTTTGTTTTCGACGAAAGAAATTTGCCATCAAAAGAGGAGCAGCCGGAATCACTTTCTCTCTATGTGAAGGATCCGGATTCGAGTTTGAGTCGGATCTGCAGAAATTTTCGTGGACAGTCCAGCTTCATCGGGCTCGTCCACGTTACCCGACGCATTGTTGTGGACCTGGACGAGTCTAATACGAACTTGCAAAAAGGTTTTTTTAGTGTCTTCAAGTTATTTAAAAAACCAACAAATAAAAGTGATTGCGTAAAAACAATAATTTGAAATGAAATAATCATTGTTGGTTATTGTAAATCAACATTAAACAATTTAATAGTTTTCGAATTTATACATAAGCTAAGTTAAATGCTCGCTCCCTCCTTCCAAAAATAAACTTTAAAATATCTATTGTCAACCATTTGGTGGAGGTGGAAAGCTCCTTAAATATTAGATTAGGGCCGTCCTTGATATGTGTGTAAACACATTTAAAATACGTATTAGTTATGTAATAAATAGATATAAAAGCGACCTCGAATGTATTTACGCGAGATTATCGCACCCGAAAACATCATGTTAATCAACAAATATTTTAATAATACGGATCCAATACAATTTAAATCGAGTAAAATATATATTTTACGTTTCAATTATTTAAATTATATTTAAAATCTGAGAACAAAGACGCGAATTACACATTCTTCTGTATGTGATTTTTCAAAAAAAAAAAAAAAAAAAAAATATCTATTGTCTATCATTTGGTGGAGGTGGAAAGCTCCTTAAATATTAGATTAGGGCCGTCCTTGATATGTATGTAAATACATTTAAAATACGTATTAGTTATGTAATAGATAGATATAAATGCGACCTCGAATGTATTTACGCGAGATTATCGCACCCGAAACCACCTTGTTAATCAACAAATATTTTAATAATACGGTTCCAATACAATTTAAATCGAGTAAAATATATATTTAACGTTTCAATTATTTAAATTATATTTAAAATCTGAGAACAAAGACGCGAATTACACATTCTTCTGTATGTGATTTTTCAAAAACAAAAAAATGCCTTTAATAAAACTTCCTTTGTATGAGAATTACTTTGTATGAGTCATACCCCCGCAAAAATGAGACACATTCCGACAGATTCGGAGTAACGTGTTGGCTCTTCGAAAAGAAACCGATAAATTACATGCATAAAAAAAGATTAAACACAATTCGTTATTAAAAACGTTATCGAATTTTTATAACTCGAATTCGAAATGTTTACCTTTCGTGATAAAATAAAAATTGAAACTAATATCTTAATCAAAGATAAAATAGTTGAGAGATAATCAGTTTGTTTGATGACTTATAGGAAGTTTAGATATTGAAGAGTATATAAAAGACCGGAGCGTAGGAAACACATAAACGGGTGTGAAAATGAAAGCTATACATATTTTTGTTGTTATACTTTCGTTGGGGTTAGCTTCTGCTTCTAAAACATATTTCATGAGAGGAGTTAATGGAGGATTAGAATGTGCAGGTAATTTCTTTTTAGTTTTTTATATTCCTCAAATTAATTTAACAATTTCACTTGTATCCGTTTTTCATTAATTTGCATTTTATATATGAAAAATAAATGTAATAAATCATAGAAAATAAACAATCAAAAAATTTATTTCGGTATATAGGCCTATGTATACAGTANTTTCTCTTGGCCTACACTTCAAGGATATACAGATTCTTTGTATTTTAGATTAAGGGAACACAATTTATGTAATCATAGAGATTATCAAAATTTGGCTGTTAATGGTATTGTTTCATATATATTCATATTACAGTAGAAGTCTTAATCTGGCATCCACAGAATCACAGCAGTGCTGGATTATTGAAAATGTCAGATCACTGGATGGTTTTGTACTTTTGCAAAATTTGATAAGTTATATACAATCTGAACATTGCAGATATTGCTGTGCATTTTGTAACAGCACACACTGCTGTCTGCATCCAGCTTGTTTGTGCAAGCTCTTTCTGACTATACTGTACTTAAGATTGAAAAACCTGCTAAAACATTTCAATGAGCACATTACTGCACCAACTCAACATTCACAATAACTCATATCTATATACTGTACTGTAATATTTATTCAGAAAAGGGCAAAATTGTGCACTTCTCATTTTCAAGAAAATAAAAAGTTAAATTCCAAGAAACTTATAAGTTTTACAGAATCTTTCATCAAAGACCACATGATTCAAACTATAATGTAGCTTAATCATATTTGTGAGATTGCTGTTTGCCTGTCAAATAAACTTTTATTTGAAAATAATAATTTTTACATAAAATAACTGTAAACATCATGGGCTTTGTCCATTCATTTTCTATCAAAAATGTATTTTTCTTGTCTTCCTTGAAAATCTGCTCCCAGAATCATTCTCTGTTAAAATAAATTAAGTAATTATTCAAGTTTTAAAAATAAACTCTAATTTTGTAGTTTATGATTTTATTACTCTTATGTTATAACTTTCTTTTAACTGTCTGCTTGCTATATTAATTATGAAAAAATAATGTACTGTACCTATAAACAATAAGAAACCAGAGAAATATCATTGAAAGATGAATTCTTCTATGTGTCAGTAAATCATAATATTGACTTACTTAATACTAATAATTTTTTAATTTATCTTATTGCTTAAATCCAAATATAATTTACAATTATGTAAAAATTATATTGGTTTCAAAATAAAAACTCATTCATTGACAGGCAAACAAAGCAAGCTCACAAATATCGATAAGATATACAGTGGGTGATCGGTTAACGAACAAAATCTGTTCCAAGACTTTGTTCGCTATCCAAATTGTTCGTTAACCGATTATCTATTTACCATAGGTTTTAATGGGAATTTAATCAATTCGTTCTGGAGACCCCCCAAAAATAAAAAATATATACTTTCTTACTATGTTTATTTATATGTAATAATAAAAATACATATATACACAGTCTTGCGTTTTTATTAGTCACGNAATTTTTAGTATAAATACTTCCTCTTGGAAAACCCAATTATAGGCTATATTTCACAATTTATTTCAATACAATCTATATAAAGTTAATAAACTTTAAGATACATCATGGATTAAACAATTATCTATAGCGTTTATGTTAATGAAAATTTCAATTTTATCATTGTTTTTATCAACAGAACTAGGCTACTCTTATTGATTACAATGTAGCACTTTAAATATTTATTACTACTACAGATTAGATGAATATATCAAAAACTGATTATGTAAGTATACTGTATACATATTTTTTAAATAACTTATTACTTATTTTTTTAGCTTGTACTATTGTTGTTGGATTATTGGAACAAATTGCTGAAATAAAATCAAAAAATATAAGTGATGTCGTTTCTAATATCTGTGACGCTTTACCAACTACATATGAGAAATTCTGTCGAATTATAGTGCGTTTATGGGGTCCTATTATAATAGACAAGTAAGAATTTTCTTTTTATAAAAAAATTATTAAACTAAACGAGTATTTACAGTATTTATTGTGACATCGTTACAATGCTAGGCTACAATTATTAATCGTATTTTTTTTTAATTTAATTAAAAAATATATGCTCTCCACCTCAAATTAGTAGTCTTGCCCCTGTACATCATACTTTTCCTGTTATCAATAAACATGCCTCCTTTCGGAGACAATTTTTGAATTGAAATAACGTGATTTTCGGGCCATTCTGCCTCTAAGGTTTCCATATCTGATCTGGTATTCCGTCTATCTAACTCCGTTCTCGAGATTAAGGAAAGACAGACAGACAGCAAGGGTAATTTATGGATCTTTAATTTTTTCAAATTCTAGCCCAAGTACTTTTCTATAAGGTACGTCCCAAATAATTATCAACATATGTTGTTTTTAATTACGTTTATTAATGGAATGAAATGCTTCAAACAAAGTTGCATCTTCCATATTTTCTTTTAGGTTAGCAGAAAATTTGACTATCCCAAAAAATTATCAACTATTTTTTAACAATACTTTCTAGAAAAATATATGCACATCAGTTTATATTTTCATATTTATATCGTATCTGCGTAAGCGTATGAAAATATTTGACACATTTGAAGCATTGGAAAGTTGTTACTATGGCTAAAAATATGATTTAAGTGATTATGAAAATGACAAAATTGATGCCTGGACAGTTGAAAACATTTCCCAAAGTAAAATAGCTCGAAGATTAAATAGAGCTAAGTCAACAATAAACAAATTTTTGCATTGGAAAGGCGGTTCAACAAGAAAATCAAATTCTTGACAAAAAACAAAAGTGACTGCTCAACAACAAAGGCATATATTTCAATTGGCAGCAAAAAAAGCGATGTTCTGTAAGGCAAATAACAGAACATTTGAAGATTGTGTTTCAAAATCAACTGTTGATTGCACTTTGTTGAAGTCTGGAAAACCTATTAGGGGCAGTCAAATGAAAACAAGACAGATGGGGGAAAAAATAAGTAAATTGTTTATTATTTCAAAAGTAATTGCCATAACTGTTAATACATTTATCCCATGTGAGACAAGACGGTCAATGCCTTCATAGAAAAATGTTTGCGTTTGGCTACGGAACCATGATTGTACCCAGGTGTGCACCTTTTCGTCCGAAGCAAATTGACGGCCACGAATGTCTTTCTTCGAGGCTCCAAAAATATGGAAATCGCATGGGGAGAAATCGGGACTTTATGGAGGATGTGTATGGACTACGCTGCAGAAGTTCCCAGCGAAACTTCTGCAGCGTAGTCAAAACAACCTTGGTAACATGTGGGTGGGTATTATCCTGCAACAGAATAATGCTGTCTGTCAACATTTCTGGGTGTTTGGTTTTGATGGCACGCTTTAATTTTTGCAAAGTTTCTATATACCGCTGTGCGTTAATTGTGGCGCTGTATTCCAGAAAGTCAACAAGCAGCAGACCTCCATATTGATATTGGACGCACACACGACTCGCCGACCTAACTTCAAGCACGTCTAACAGACAAATGGCACAGCGGTGAACGTTCACACTGTTCCTTCCTGATTCCCAAAAGATGGCACTTCTATATACACACCTACCTGCATTACCAACTTCCGTGCCATACTTGTTATATAGGGTGCATTCGTTAATAGCGGTCGCTCTGCATTTCCGCTACTACGGGAGTGCGCTGCTGTTTGTAGGCATTTAGGAACGACGGTGAAAGAAAGAAAGATGGCGGCGCCCGCACTATCGATAGTATCGTGATGGACGAATCTATAATTCTAAAATATGAGCTTTTAAAGGCAAAAGAAGGGTCCCAATTGTAAAATTTAACCATAAAATGGATTATTTGTTGAAAGAGCATTCGAAATAGCCACGAAAAAAATTAGAATGCCGGCTACCATCCGAAAAAATTAGAAAAGACACATCACCACATGCACTAACTCGCGCTTTCACAACTTCTAAATTTTCATTCATAAAACCAGATAATTGACCCCGAAACGAAACTATCTGAGCCATGGAGGACACCGTGTTGCTTTCCACCGTAAACTACTGCTACAAGCGGCCGTTTTTGCCGTTCGACGGCGCGCACTCCGACCGGAATTTAGGAACGCGTTCCGCAGGAATTTTTAAACGGATGTCGCTCGTGCGAAGTTACGCGGAGGAATAAAAGAACGCAACCATAGTTTGTCTCATTTTCATTTGACTGCACCTAATAAATTCAACTGAGTAAGAGACGACCTTATCTTAAATCACACCACAAAGGCTAGGCTCACCTAGGCCAAAAATCATATGACCTGAGACAAGTAATAGACCAAGGTTATTTTCAGTGGGGAAAAGAAGTATAATTTAGACCAGGCCTGGCCAACCCAAATTGTTTTGCGGGCCACTTTGATCACGTGTAACATTACGGTGGGCCACAATTTAGGCAAATATGCTTTTAAAAAAGTAAAACAAACACAAAATGAATAAGATTTTATTGTTATACTCGTAAGAGTTCGTACTCGCACTTGCGCATTATAACAATGACACGTGCAAATTTTCATTTATTTAATTATTTTGGTATACACATAACGGGAAACAAAAGTTTTAATAGATATATAATATCGCTTAGTGGGCAACACAATTTAACGTGAAGGGCCGCGGGTTGGCCAGGCCTGATTTAGACAAACAGATCCTGCCGGTAATATTTATATTTTACCGGCAGGATCTACAGAAGGAAGAACACTACTGCAGCAAAACGATGCAAAGTGGAGTATCAGTAATGGTTTGGAGAGGCTTTGGATTAAAGGGTAAGCACAAGTAAATAATAGGATGAACTGTGTTGACTATCAGAATATGCTGCAAATTAATTTACCATGTTCCACTAAAATTTGTGCTAGGAATTACATTTTTCAACAGAATAATGCCTCAGTTCATGTCTCTCAGTCATCCAAGGAGAGGTTTTCCAGGAAAAATATTCAACTTTTGGATTGGCCCAAAATTTGTGGGGATTATTGTTAGATAGATATAAGGATGGTTGACAATTTTTTAATGTTACAGACCTGAAGGCTGCAACTCATGGAACATAAATTTTCAAGAATTTTTACAGGAGTTAAATGTATGAAAGATCTGATATTTAATTAATTTAAATGGCATGTTTATTGGTTACTAATTCTCAGTTTTTATATATGCAATTCACTTAATTTCCTGAGATGGTAAAATCTCTTCCTACCAATTTAAAACAATACATATGCAAGATACAACTTTGTAGCATTTAATTTATGCAGCATGGTTAAAAACAACATTGTTTTTTATATAGATAAGATACCGGTAACTGATAGTACTTTTTAAATCTTAAAACAGCATATGTTGATAATTATTTGGGATGCACTTTTTTCACTTTGTACAAAAAGTCATGATTTATAATAGGAATAGGCATATGCTTTTTAATTTTTTTAATATTTTTTTTTTTATTAAAAATTTATTTTTGCTCAAATTGTTTATATCTGAAGAAATATAATGAATATAGAGCTCATTGAGTTGCAATTTTCAAATTGCACTTATAGGTTCCAGTTGACCTTCCTTGATTTCAAGAGCAAAGTTAGATGAAAATCAAGACTAGGTGTGGAAAACTTAGGAGCAGGAAGTCACATGATTTTTAAAGTAAAATGATAAAAAATTGCAGCCCAGCATTGTGACAATGTCACAAGTAATCATTTATTAGATTCACTAGATTTACATTTTCATTTTCCTTTAACATTGTTTTTATATGATTTGCAATGGATTCTTGCACANGCAGGTCATAAAACCAGCGTAAAAGCGAGTTGAGCAGTGTTCAACTTGCTTTTACGCTGATATTACGACCTGCTCAGGCGTAAAATATTTTACAGTGAGAGGCTTTACGCCGTTTTTATGGTAGTGGAGTCTTGGCCTTAATGCTGTTTTGCCAAACTTATCACTAGGAGCAGGAAGTCACATGATTTTTAAAGTAAAATGATAAAAAATTGCAGCCCAGCATTGTGACAATGTCACAAGTAATCATTTATTAGATTCACTAGATTTACATTTTCATTTTCCTTTAACATTGTTTTTATATGATTTGCAATGGATTCTTGCACATTTACTTTTTTAAAATTATTAAACTTCATTTCGTAACACTTTTTAATTCAAAACCTTTAGAATGGTGAGGAAAGAATCTTCAGATGTAATTTGTTACAGTGTGGGATTGTGTCATGTTGATAAGGATGAAGAATTTTGCCATCTTTTTCCTATACCTAAAGTTAGTTTCTATAACTTGTTATTCTTACTTTTTTAATATTTTGAACTTAACAAATAAAACATTTATAGGAAGGAATGTATCCAGCTGTTATGAAGTCTCAACAAGCTTCTAGAACTTTGCAAAATATTTTACAGGTTGAAAAAATTTTTTATATTTTAATTAATCATCATCTATTAATTAATTTGAATGTACTTTTTTTACATGTAGTTAAATTTTAAAAGTGCAAATTCATTTTGTGATCATGAAGTGTTACAGTTTTTGTGTGATATGATTGACAGGTAATAATAAAATTCAGTTTTTCATAAAAATTAAAATTTATCTTTTAAAAATTATATTATTTTATAATAGATTTTTAAATCAAGCCAAACCCCTCATAGATCTGGATGGTGATAGTTACAGTACTGTTCAGGTAAATTATTTTTAAAATATTGTAAAAAATTTGATACATAACTTTTTAAACAAAACTCTTATTAAATTTTGCTTCAACAATTAAAGAACTTTGTAACTTCTATACTTTAGAGCAGTGGTTCTCAACCTTTTTTTCGTCACGGCACACTTTTAGTACTTTAAAAATTTGGCGGCACACTAACAATAAGATAAATTGTAAAAAATTTTACTTCATTAATTGAGGGATGTACTGTACCTATAATATATTTTGTAAAAAGAGCATACGATAAGAATTTTCAATGAAATATAAAAGGAAATTGCATTACAAAGTAAACAAAATGTTTTGTGTCGCGGAAACGGCACACTTCAGAAATTTCGGGGCAAATCAGTGGCGGCACACTTCAGAAATTTCGCGGCACACTAAAGTGCCGCGGCACAGTGGTTGAGAAGCACTGGTCTA